TTTTTTTTTTTTACCTTCCGGAGATGATAACCATCGGTAGTGCCTCGTGGACGAGATTTGAATTTAGGTTTAGATCCACCATAAACAAGCTCACTCTTCATATACGTAACGTTTTAAGCACATATACTTTGTGCACCAGCTAAATGTCGATCTATGTAATCGAGTCATTGCGAACGGGACCGGAGTGCTGATTTCCGCAAGAGCGTTGCTGTCACGCAAGAGCGTTTCAGTCACTCAGTGGTACCCAAAGCCCCAAGCATTTGTGCAAAAATACAACGCCGACCATTCTTTTAAAACACAGAGGGTCAATCAAATTTTTATTTAGCCCTAAATGCTTGGAGTTACATTCACTGGGTTATCGGGTTATGAATGTTGCTCCTGGCCGACACAAGCAACATTCACCTGGGTAATTCTAAGTGTGCAGAGGAAATTTAGTATAGGAGGTAATGATACAACCTTTGTATGGGGAAAAAATACATCTCTAGACAGCCCATCTAAATTCAAAGGGAATAGCACCACTTTGGTTTAGTAAATCCATGTGGCACGCTGATATCACTGTCATATTGAATCATACAGTAAAAAAGCCGACACAAGGAGACTACAAGACTTTTTTCTTAGTATTAGAAATAAAGAAAGAGAGTTTGTTTTTAGGTAGAATCACGCCTCTGCTAAAAACTCTGGATATATAAATCCAGAGAATTTTATAACAATAGCCAAGCAACAATAGTTCTGATTCACGTAGTTTACGTAGCGTTTGTGTCATGTGCTTTTCTGGCAAAGCAACGGGTACACCGTTACTGTGTATAGCTCCACATTGTGCTAGCAAGCACACGTTGCGCATTTACTAATAGTTAGGCCAGCGCAGGTATAAAATAACGTTAATTATGATTGTTCTCGATGCCGCCTTCGCTTCGAATGGCAGCTCAGTAGATAGCCTTGCGAGGTGGTGTTATGTTCTCCATATGTGCAATGTACACAACGCAAAATTAGCTATGGCTGCCACATAACGTAGTTTCAGCCAATCGGAATCGTCTTCGCTCCGCTCGGCAGTCAATTAGAATGTTCAAAAACCTTACCGTTTCGTGTGACTGACGGACACCGTACGAGCGTTATTGTTTTAGATTAGCTGAGCATCCATTTTTTTTTAGTACTTAATGTCTCCGTTCAGCTCGCAACGGGCTCGCTGCACAATTGGTGGGTAATTTGAGCAGAGGCGGGCCTGTCGGTCCCGCAAGGTTCCAACCGGTGTCGTTTTGGGCACCCAAACGAAGCGAGGCAGCGAAAATTAATTTTAGCCAATGGGGGGCCGTCTTTGCTGCGCTCGGCAGTCAGTAGAATGCGTGAATTGAGCCCTCAATATTAATTGTAGCCGCTATACGGACGGATAGATTGACAGACATGTTGCTCTAGTTGAAAGTAGCAGATTTACCCGAGGGCCGTCGCTTCGCGGCGGTGGCGGCAGGTTTTAATTCCAGTTATTTGAGCCGTCCACCTCCGCTTCGCTCCGGCGGATTATGGATTCTCTTACGACATCAAGTTGTAGTGGAATCGATACAGTTCTTATGAAAAGACCTTTAAACATAAAAACACATGAATTAATACGTATGTGAAGCTATCGCTCCCTATTCCGAACCGAATATCTGTCTGTAGACGATGTTCTTGTGTAGACCCCTCCCTGACCTTCATCTCTGGGTACTTGATCGGTACCCGGAGTCTTGATCTTGAAGTCACCCGCGACATAGGTGCAGTACTTGAGTTTGTATATGGCGACGCTATGCTTTCTCCACGGACAGCTGTGCGATGTACAGCTGTCCGTGGAGAAAGCATAGCGTCGCCATATACAAACTCAAGTACTGCACCTTCTGTCCTTGCGCCTATAGGCATGTCAAGCGCTGGCTGGATGGGAAACTGCTTACGCCTGATTTGAAATGGGAAGTTCCGAATGGCTTCGCCGCAGACAAACAGGATGCGGGGAATCAAAACATATTGTCCTTTCGCTCACCTGTCCTGATCGTGGCGTGATTTACATCAGGTTTGAGGGCGACGATCCATAGTCTTGTTCCATTGCATAACTCCAGATCTGGGTACAGATTCAGGATGATAGGTATTCCTACTTTGAGTGTAAGCTTGTGCGGTAGAATTCCACTGATATTCATTGAGTGGAGTACCTCTTGCTCGAAGGAATTGCCATCGCCACCATCCCGAACAGAATCCGAAGGCATGTATTATCGGGCCTGTCCTGATAAACGATCAGCCACCGCTTCGTCGATGCGATGCACAATCGCGTTCGTGGTCGTCAGGATCGTACGGTTTGCGAAGTACTCGTCGGTTGAGATCTCGGGGTTGTTGATGTCGCTGTACATGTCGTCGATGATCCAATTCATGCCTCTCGGAGTAATGCCAGGACGGATTTCTTCTTCATCATCATCGCCCGCTGGTGGGTTATCAATCAGCATATCGCGCGGAATCTTCATGTAATCTCCATCTAGAGTTGTATTCACATCATGCCACTTGTAGTAGGAAGTCGGAGAACGCAGCCGTTTCTTCAGCAGTGTCCGCGATCTCAGCTGTATGCACACCCATGTTCTCTGTGAGATGAAGCGTCTGGAAGCGAGGCCACCACGCCGATGACTTGACGCAAGCGTCGATAGTTTCGACAGGTGTCCCATTCTTCACAACAGGGAAAATTTGGCGGAAATCTCCCGACAGCACAAAACCTTTTCCACCAAAAGGTTCAGCATCTTTATCAAGTAGATCTCTTAGTGTTCAATCCACAGCATCGAACGCATGCCGATGGGGTATTGGGGCTTCGTCCCAAATAACCAAACTTGCTGCTTTGATCAGCTCTAGTAAATGGGAGTTCTTATTGATAGAGTACGTTGAGCTCTCCTTCAATCTCAAAGGGATCTTGAATGTCGAATATGCTACCCCCCCCCCTCCAAGAGTAACAACGAGGCAATCCCTCTAGATGCCACCACGATGGCGATTTTTCCCGAGAGTTTGACCTTGGACAGTATGTTCCGAAGCAGTGCAGATTTTTCAGTGCCCCCCCCCCCCCCCCGGTCCATCAACGTTGAACATCTTTTACCTTCTTCAGGCGCTTCTACCGCTTGAATAATCAGGTCGTAAGCGACGT